CGGCAGCGGGCGGCCGCCGGGCCCCGACTCCTCGCTGGAGCCCTACGTGCAGACCCGCATCTTCAAGATCATCGTCATCGGCGATTCCAACGTGGGCAAGACCTGCCTGACCTTCCGCTTCTGCGGGGGCACCTTCCCCGAGAAGACGGAGGCCACCATCGGTGTGGACTTCCGGGAGAAGACGGTGGAGATCGAGGGGGAGCGCATCAAGGTGGGCGGCGGGCGCGGACAGCCTGGGAGCATCCCTGCTTCCCGTCTCGCAGGGACATCACCTCCCAGCTGCACGGCTTGCGGGAGCCGGCAGGGAGTGCGGAACAATAGCTGGGGGGGAACACGGCCATTGTCCTGTCAGCCCTGCTGGACTGATCCCCCTTGGCGTCGGGGCCGGCTGCGGGTGCCGCACGCGGGGCAGTGCGGAGCAATGCTCCAGGGCGCCGGAGGAAGGAGCCCTGCGCCAAAGCGCAGGCGCCCGCGGGGGAGCTGGATGCCGGGCCGTGCCGGCGCTGCGCGCTCCCGCTGGCCAACCTCCGTGGGCTCCAGACCCCCGGCACATCCCTGCTCCCGGCTGCTGGTAGCAAACGCTACAAGGACGTGATTTGGGCCAGATCAGAACAGAGCTGGTTTGCTGCCCGTAGACCGGTAGTAACAACCCTTAGCACAGACCTGCAGAGCTCTGGTCGCTGGGTCAGAGCAGACCTGCGGATCCACAGCAGCCAGTAGCCAACCTCCGTGGGCTCCAGACCCCCGGCACATCCCTGCTCCCGGCTGCTGGTAGCAAACGCTACAAGGACGTGATTTGGGCCAGATCAGAACAGAGCTGGTTTGCTGCCCGTAGACCGGTAGTAACAACCCTTAGCACAGACCTGCAGAGCTCTGGTCGCTGGGTCAGAGCAGACCTGCGGATCCACAGCAGCCAGTAAGAAATGGCACGAGGAGTGTGGTTTGCAGCAGGTCCAGGTCTGCCCGATTATGTGGATCAGCACCAGGGCTCTCTGTGCATAAGAGGGGCTGCTGGAGGGAGCAAACATTGCTGCTTTGCTGGCAGATAGATGATCAAAAGTTGAATGACTAACCACAGTGAAATTAGAGATATCATTCATCGATAAGAACTAGAAATAGAAATTCAGTTATGCTTTTATACTGCCCATGAAATACTTTTCTGTTTTTTTATTAAAGAAGAGCTACTGATTCTCCCCCTACTTTCCCCAGCTCCATCCACCACATATCATGGTGCAGTCTGGCATGAAGCCCGTCTTCCCACCACCAGCTTGAGAGCGGTGCCAGGCTCACTACCTTTCTGCATTATTTGTGCTATGGCGGGCAGGGCTGGAGGGTAGTTCCGCAAAGCGGCCTTCTGGCAGCACATGCAACAGGGCAGTCCAAGAGGAGGGTGAAGAGATGGTCGACATACCGTCCATCTCTCCACATCAAACAGCCTGTGAAGGGTTGGTAGGGAACTGGTAAATGAGTAGCAGCTCTTTTTGGCCAGCAGCTCTTTCTGGCCATCATTTTCCCCTCTGAAGGGCTCTGGGACAGACCTTGGTAGGGTGGTTTTAGATTAACCATAGGCTTGAGGAGCTGCAGGGAGACCAGTCTCTTTGCCCTGACTCCTCTGTACAGACTACTGTGTAACTGTCAGGGTTCTCTTTTAGGGCAGATCGATGTCTTCCTCAGGTACCAGAATATTTCTCAAATAGGAAGCGTTTGGTGCAGCTCGTTTTGGTGTTGGGGATGATGGTTATGAGGAACAGGGTGAGGAGCTGGGAGTAGCCCAGCAGCTGAATGCTGGAGGAGGGATGTCTGGGAAGGTATTTGAAAGCCAATTATGTCTTTCACTGAGACCCAGCCATGAGGCAGCGATGTTCCTCACGCAGAGCACCAGGACCGAGAGCATGTGTGGCTCATTCTCTTGACTGCGCTGGACTCGGCTGCAGTGGCTGGAAACGGGATGTGCTGCGCAGAGCCCTGCGCTTGTCTGTGAATGCTGAAGGTGAACCAAAGTGCTGACATGATCTCTGTTGTAAAATGAGCTGGGGTTGCTAGTTGAATTCTAGAAGCTTTGGAGCGCAGACATGGCCACACGCAATCTTGAGCACTGTGGCTGCATGCCCATGAGGTTATGTATCTCATACAGCAATCCTGGCTTGTCTATTGATATGTAGCTGTCTCCTGCTCTTCCCACCACAGTTGCGCAAACCAACCCGCTCCTGCGTCAGTGAGCCCTGCTGTTCGGAGTGGACGCTTGGTGCTCCCATGGGCTTCCTTCTTGGTTGCCTCAAGAAGGCTGTGCTTTGCTCTGCAGGTGCAGGTGTGGGACACAGCTGGCCAGGAGAGGTTTCGCAAGAGCATGGTAGAACACTACTACCGCAACGTGCACGCCGTGGTCTTCGTTTACGACGTCACAAAGATGACATCCTTCACCAACCTCAAGATGTGGATTGAGGAGTGCAATGGGCATGCGGTGCCCCCTCTGGTGCCCAAGGTGCTGGTTGGGAACAAGTGTGACTTAAAGGAACTGATCCAGGTGCCCTCCAGCATGGCCCTGAAGTTTGCCGATGCTCACAACATGCTGCTCTTCGAGACCTCGGCCAAGGACCCTCAGGAGAGCCAGAACGTGGAGTCCATCTTCATGTGCCTGGCCTGCCGGCTCAAGGCCCAGAAGTCGCTGCTCTACCGAGACGTGGAGAGGCAGCCGAGCAGGGCACAGAAACTGGAGCCGCCGCACAACGCCCACGGTAAAACCTCCTGCCCGTGCTGAGCGCGGCGGCGCCTCCCTGTTTCCAATAAAGTCTCTGTGGCTCCAACCGGCGCTGGTGGTGCTTGGCGCGGCGCGCATGCGCGGAGGCGGAACACGGACGCGCTACGCCGGGGCCGCGCAGCGCGCATGCGCGGAGGCGGCGGGCGCATGCGCAGTGCGCGCCGCTGTCACCATGAAGTAGGTTTGAGGGGGAGCGCGCGGGGCGGAGGGGCGGGAAAGGGCCCTTTATTTTTACATCTGCCCTCCCCGCCTCTTCCCGGTGCTAACGGTGCCCGTCGCCCCCAGCCCGCTGACGAAGGTGAAGCTGATCAACGAGCTGAACGCGCGGGAGGCGGAGCTGGGCGTGCAGGAGGCGGTGTCGTGGCACGCTGAGTACAAGGACAGCGCCTGGGTCTTCGTCGGTACGTGCGGTTCGGCCCGGCTCGGCTCGGCTCGGAGCAACCGGGGTTGGGGCAGGGGGCGGCCGGGTCCTGCCGTCAGGCGGGCTGCCCTACGAGCTCACGGAAGGCGACATCATCTGCGTCTTCTCACAGTAAGTGCCCTGCTGCCCTGGGGGGCCCGGCTCAGCAGGGCTCCCTGGACTGGGACTCTGTCCCCCACCCCGACCTGTGCACTCCCTGCAGCTGCCCGGGCTGCTCATGGTGTGTTTCAGGTATGGAGAGGTGGTGAACATTAATCTGGTGCGGGACAAGAAGACGGGAAAGTCCAAGGGTTTCTGCTTCCTCTGTTACGAGGACCAGAGAAGCACGATTCTTGCTGTAGACAACTTTAATGGCATCAAGGTGAGCGCAGCAGAGGGAGGCATGGAGCAGCCCCGTTGAGGTGGCTGCTGGTGTACCACGTTATGACCTGTCAGGCGGCGGCCCCGACAGTGTGACTCTGGTACCCTGCACTGTGCTGTGGCTGCTCTAACGCTGATGCTCCTTCCTATAGATAAAAGGCAGGACCATCCGAGTGGACCATGTGGCTAACTACCGGCCCCCCAAGGACTCCGATGACTTGGATGAAGTCACCAAAACCCTCCGTGAAAAGGGCTGTGGAGTTAAAACACCGCCTCACACATCATCCGATTCATTGTCAGAAGATGACAGCCCACCAGTAAAGAAGCAGAAAGGTTCGGTGTGTTCCAGTTGGGTATGCCAATGTGAATCCCACTGTCTTGACAGGGTTTTGAGCACAGGGGAACAGCAGCAGCGGGAGAAGGAGGGGCAGCCTGTTCTTGAAAAGGGTCCAGTCTAAAAGTCCAGCTTGTAGTTTGCAATCTCCTAGGCAATATCTGATTGTCATATTTAGTCTTTTACCTCCACTCTCTCAGAGGCTGCAGGCTGTAGTGTTACTCCAGGGAGCAGCAATGCCCTTGGGGATAGGGAAAGGAAAAGCTAAAAGAAGCTGCACCTAATGTTAGCACAGTGATGTTGGCAAGGGGGAGGGAAGCCCCCCTGGGCTGGCATGGGCTAGTTGTGACGTGTGAGCGTAGCACAGTGATGTTGGTAAGGGGAAGGGAAGCCATTCTGGCATGGGCTAGTTGTGACGTGTGAGCCATCATGCAGAGCAAGCTTCCCTTCAGCTCTCAGGCTGTATCTGTGTCGGGCTCTTTGTCAAAATATATTCTGATTATATTCTATATATTCTAAAATATAGAAGAAAACTAACTTGGGAGCTAGAGAATTGGAGAGGCACAGCAATGAGAAAGGTAAAGGAGAGTGAAGAAGGAAAACAAGCCTCAAGTTTGAAGAAGAAAATTTCCACTGAGTTGATAGGGACATTCTTGCATGTGTATTATTCTGAAAACAGAATATAAGGAAAGTGCCTGATGAGCTAAACTATGTTTTAGGGGGGTTAGGAGGCTGTGAAACTTGGTGGGGAGGAAAACTAGAAAGCACTAACCATATCTAAAGATGAGAGGATGGTTGAAAGATGCTGAGGTATCAGATGGCTTTAGGAGCTGAGCTAATATGTGCAGCACTATCACTCCCTAAAGATAAACCTGTATTTCAGGTAAAGAGACGAGGAGGCAAGAACGGCAGAAGCAGAGCCAGCATGCTGCGAAGAGGCCTGTATCTGCGGAGGAGTCACAACCAAGAATCAAAATTAAAAAAGAGAAAGAGGATCCTGCCTATGACCGCTATGCCAATGCGAGTCAGCAGTCCTGGAATGGGTCGGAGAGGAAACATGTAAGCAGGACACAGCGGGAAGAGGAAGAGCAGAGGCACCAGAGAGCTTTGGAGAGAAGAGGAGACAAGAGCTGCCAGGAACAGAGGGGACAGAGCAGCTCACGGAAGGAGAGAGGTGAGGCCAGCAGAAAGGGTGAAGGCCACAGCAGCAGACGAGAAGAACGTCTTGAGGGAAGCAGATCCAGGGACCACCGGGAGAGCTCTGCAAGAGAGTCCCACTCCTGGCGCAGAGAGTCAAGTACCACTAGGGATTCCAGCCGTCGCTAGGCCAGGGGCGAGCGGCACCTGGAGCCGTGGCAGCTCTGACCAAGCACCTGAACCTATCCAAGCCTTCATGAAGCCTCTGGGAGGATGCCACAGCTCAACTGCCAGTTTCCACCAGTTCTAGCATTAGATTGAGGATCTCCTCGAGGACCATTTCTGGTGCAGTTGTGACTGTGAATTTGGTTGTTGCTTTGTTCGAGCCTTGTGCGCTGTGGCACCTTGCAGTGTTAACAGTTCACCGCCACTCGAAAGCCGTCCCTGGGCTGCTGGCCTTCCCTAAGCAGCCCCGTGCCAGCAGTCCTGGTGGGATTGGTTTCCCTTTCCCTCCCCACATGGTGCTTGCTCCCAACCCTCTCACTGTGGTGAGAGAGGGATGGGAATCGTGCAGGCCCAAGGAGTCAAAGGCAGGGTGCGCATCTGCCAGCTGCTGTGATGAATCTAAAGGAACGCACTGTTGTGTGGGGGCTATTTATTGTTTTTTTTTTTTTAACCAAAAAAAAAAAAGGTCCTTTATTAAAAGTTGTTAGCGGAAAGAATGCAGCGCAGCATTTCTGTGTCCTGGTAACTGGTAAAAGTCTGTCAGTTTGTTGAACACGGGCTACAAAGTGAATTGATCCAAAAGCTGAGTGGTATTAAATGGGGACTAGGCGGCAACATGGAGAGCGAGGGGATGTGGATGCAAACAGGGCCGAAGCTGCAGTAGGACGGTTCCCAGCGCTCACCTAGGGCAGCGCGGCCGCAAGACGGGGGAGCCCGGAGGGGAGCCCCGCGGGGCAGACGGGGCCGCTGCTGCTCGCGGCGGCTCCGTTACGGAAGCGAAGCCGGGACGGGGCCAGCGATGAGGGGGGCGGAGGGGTG